GAAAAAATTATGTATTCCAAGAAGATCAAATCCAGCAATGGGTTTTGATGAATTTTCAATCATCTTATCAGTAATTTAGCATTTTTAGTGGAATTATAACCATCGAATCTTAACCGGAGTGATGCTAGAGGAAATCAACTTCATAAAAGTCCGCTATCTTGTAGCTGGGTTGAACAGTTGGACTAAGAATACTTTCGAGTGTGACCCTGTGCATCCTTTCTACTCCAAGAATTAATCATGTCCTCCTAAATGTTTACAATCTATTTGGATTTGGAAACTACTCTTAGATCCAGATCAGTAAATGTTGTGTTTTAATGATAATCTACTAGAGATGATTCATTAGGGTCATCGCGGTTCTTGTATACGGCGATCAACTGTAGATTCGAGAGTTGTAAAATATGGTTGGTTGTTGGCTTGTACGCTGAGCTGGGTGATTTGATTGCCAATGTTTCATCACCAATCGAGGTGACATCGTCAGTGCGTTATTGGGGAGCGTAGCGGTTGGTTAATGGTTTTGGTTGCAAAATGTCTCAGCGCCCAATAAACTATTAATTTTATGAAAATATTAGTAAGCTATCACGTTCATGAAGGAATGAATACTCAAACACCCTAAAATTACCGACGGTTCTGAGTCAATCTTGCAGGTTATTTCGTATGCAAGTATTAACTGTGTCACATGGGTATCTATCTACATAGGTATCACTCACTACTTTTGGCCTTTTCCAGATAAGCCCCGCTACTAATGCAAAAGCGCATGTGCGTTCGGACGTAGAATCTTAAATGAACTTCCTGAAGCTTTCAACTCTCGTTCATGATGAGGAGACGGCAATACGTTTTTTGCAAAGCCACGGAGTGATCCATCATCAACGTTTGTGCAACAATGGCCACCAAATGACACTTTCAGCTGTTTCTGACAGGTGGAGGTGTAATGCCTGGTAGTGTCCGTAAGAAATCGATCTTCGAAAGAGAACTTGGCTAGAGCGGTCTAGGATAGAGTTTACGACAGTAATTCTGTTCATTTATTGCTGGGCCAAGAAATCGGTCTTCGAAAGGGAACTTGGCTGGAGCGGTCTAGGATGGAGTTCAGCATAGTAATTCTAATCATTTATTGCTGGTCCAGAAATTTCGCGAAAAATCAAATTCTGCTCAGAAAGATTACCTATTAGCCACACGACCGTTGTTGACTGGAAGAACTTTCTTCGCGAAGTTTGCGCCAGGCGGCTTCTGGAGACTCCAACATTTAGCGGCAGCCCAGGTCTACACGTCGAGATCGTTGAAACGCTAATATCTCGCCGTAAAAACCACACAGGGCAAATCCTTCCCAGCAGTAGATTTTCGGAGGGATCTGCTGGGAAACTAAAGAGGTGTTCATGTATGCAGTGCCAAATCGAAATGCGGCCACTTTGATGGGCACAATCCAGGCCTGCATCGCTCCCAGCTCAATCATCATCTCCGACATGTGGGAATCATACCAAGGAATGGAAACGATGATTGACATAAATTATACTCATGAAGCGGTTAATCATAGCGAAAACTTTGTGGATCCAACGAATGGAGATCACATACAAACCATCGAATATCTTCGGTACGTCTCTAAGATGCAGAATAAACGTCAATGCGCCACAAACCGATCTTTAGTGGACAGCTACTTGTGTGAGTTCGTTTGGAGGCAAACGTACCGAAAAACGGACCTTTTTATGCGAATTATTAATGACATTTTCCAATTTCGCCCTCTTCAATAAAAACTAAAAATACAGTCTTTAAACCCTCATTTTCTAATCTTTTTTGGTGGCGGGGGTTAATTTTTAGCGGGGATTATCTGAAAAAGTTCCATACTTTTTCGCATACTATGTTCTGCATGAAGCAGACTTTGGTAACTCTGGTGGTGCTGAAATTTTTATGGCTTTTGTAAATCAGAAACAGTCCCAATTTTATCAAGAAATATTCACTTTCTCTACACAACCATAGAACGCCAACTACGGATTGGGTAGCTTTGATGCCCTTTACCAGGTTCTGATGACATGTCACGTTATATGTCCACAAGTGTCTCAGTTTTCAAGTTCCAAGGTATTCTCCGCAGTGTACCCCTTTGGACTGTTGCACCTGTGTGCAGCCTACTAGTAAATTCGGGCTACTTGCACCCCGTAGTAGGGAACTTGCTTCCTTCTTTTGACCACTTTTCTCTGATGGTAAGGAAATCATGTAATTATGCGACGGTGTGGAACCGGGGTTTTGAACGCTGCGGAAGATGACAAGAAAAATGAAACTCACTCAATGATGACGTTGATACTGAAGACGACGATGATAACTAAGGTGACAGCGAGGGTGGTGACGAAAATAGCGGTGATTGTTATGTAGATAGTTGCTTCATAAACGTATGCTTGATAATAGTGTTCCGCGGAATGTAGTCCATACTCAAGAAAGTTTTCGTCCCTATGAATAACACTGTACTTGCACATAGGGCAAGAAAGCGAAGACAGTCAAGTAGACAGGGTTTCTCCTAAATTCAAAGGCTAGTCGCGGTCACTGTCAAGTCCTCCATTATATATTATGTCCCATTTCTCCTGGTATTTATTCGAACAAATGTAGAGAGACTGTTTGGAGTGGTCCCTATTCGAACCTCTATCTTAACACTACCCCAGTGAAGGAAACGACTTCACTAATTCCAATTTTTATTACACGGTGACCAGAAGGATAGCTTAGTGGAATACCTTACATTGACTACTTCCAACTGTCTGCCAGCTTCTGCACACAAGTTGTTTGAGAGATGAAGACATAACAAGACGTTTCCAAATTTTAAATCTCATCATCTTCACCTAAAAAACTGTGTGAATCCTCAACACTTACGACATCTCTAAGTAACTTAGTGGAAAACGCTTCACATCAGAGGCAGTACTTCAAGACAGCACCGCAACTGTAAACAAAAGTATCATTTGTGGCCCAGACACCTGCTTCCTAGGTAAAGTGAAATGCGCGGCTTTCAAATGATAGTGACATGGTAAGTGACAAAATGTTCATGATTGAAGGTACCTCAGTAATCATTTCACCTTTGAAGTTGCAGTCTCTCGAAGGAACTGCTAGTCTTTTCTATACAGGTTTCGTTCTGTAAATGAAGCTAATTCACACTGTCACCCGCCACTAAGAATCATCAGCACAACTCCGTGGAGTTTTGAACCCGTCACCTTCTGCTTGGCGTTTTGATCACTTATCCGCTATGCCAACAACAGCCGATCAGCTTTGTGATTAACTCGTAAGTAGATAGGGTATAGCGCCGCTCATTCTTCAGTCACGGGATCCATATCACGTCTACAAAAGTGTTGACTGGTTTCTCAAGTGATGACTTCTCATATGAAAGTTCACTCATTGAGTGAACTTATTACAAGAGCAAGATTGTGTATTAGTAAAGCAAGACAAGTCGATGGCCTTTTGATATTGTTTTCCATTGGTCACCAATAAGAATGGCGTTTGACTCAACAACATCAAATAATTAGTGTGGAAAGACTCAGGTGCTGCAAGAAGGGCGGTCCATGTTAGGAAATTCCTCTTCACTTTACTCTATTCAGGATGTTATACTCTGTTCATGGTGGACATCAGACTTTTGAGAATGGACGGAAGTTATTCAATATTAGGTTCACGCTATGATAACGCAAAATTGAATTAAGAAATTCTTTTCTTTAGTTTTGGCGACCGAATGATGGATTTTCATCTATTCATCTAGTTTTAGTTTATTAGTAAAAAGAACCAACATGAACATCAGTCCAATGTTCTCTAAATACACGGGTTCATTCGGAATTATATAAACTGAAAACTAGTCAGTATATAATAAAACTGTTAACACAACTTAGAGCATAATACTTGCGCATTTCTGAACTGTTCACGGAAATAAGTCTGATGCAGACAGCTTAATTCCGGACAGAATCATGTATCCTTTCAGGTTACGTAATACAACGACAGGGTTCCTCCCAATTCCAAACAAGCCTTTAGGAAAAAAACCTTCACCAAACTCCTTGGCTGTTAACCTACGTCAACTAATCACCTGGCTCGTTTTTTTAACGCGTATCAATTTTTCTCACATTTACGACTCTATTACACCCAAAGTGATCCTTGAAACCTTGAAAGTAGGCTTTCTTCCCTGTGTCAATCCACATCACCCTGCAGGAGAACTGATAAGCTCTAGCTGAATAGGCTCTGCGTAAGAGATCTCGCTTCTTCAAATCGACTGTTTTTACATTTATTTGTGAAGTTGCTATTTTTCACTAAAATTGATCAAAAGTGTCCGGCTAAAACATTTTGTTTAGTTTCAGTTTTAGCCGCCGAAAACCAGTTTTAAATCTTCCTTGTATCAAAATGTAAAAAAGTTGAGTTCAGTATGCTCATTTACTTAGATGGACCCATCTATGTTCTGGCCGCCTAAAAATCGATACTTTCGTAACCATTTTCCTTATGCTAGGTGTTGCAGTACCAACTCATAAACATGCACTCTGGTGGTTGCAACTTCTGACAGCCTTAGGAAAATTGGCAATCACTTGCTCAGTGGATTTTAATCGATGGGGACTTCAACATCCGAGCCTTTTTCTACCGCTCACTTCTGGCCTAATCTAATTTAAAACATGCCCTTCAAGAAACTAGGTCGTTTAGCTTACTGAAACAGCACGGTAGCTATAAAATTGCCCACTGAGGGAACAATGCTACAGAAAAGGCTTTAAGGTCACTTAGAAAACTCGGTCTGCCCTTTAAAACCTTAACTTTCGAATCGGTTTGTGCACAGTTTGAAAATGTCGCTGTTCAAGGAATAAATGCTATTCTCAACATGACAAAAGATCTAATGACAGCACAAAACTTCCGCTACATCTTAAGACCACTTCGTGCTTGCTGTGTGCACCGTATAACCTGTGACTTCTTGTGAGTACTCAATGACATTTGTGCGTTGTAGAGTTATTTATGGCTCAAGAATGATAATACGAAAAATTAAAGCACTCGGTTATGTATGAATAGCTTACTTATTCAAAAGCCGTATGATCCGAGTAGAGGTTCAAAATTTCATCTAGACTTTTTCATGATGGTTGATTTCACAGATTGACCAGAAACTAATATCTGTCAGTGTTTTTAGAAAGTCAAAACAGTGCACCAAAGAATACTGTTTACATTGTACGGTCAGCGGTTTCCAACCAATCAGATTTTAACACCGGGTAAGTTAGAGACTGTCCGGAACGGTGATGGACCAATGGAAATCCGCAGAATTGATTTCCACGATACATGCAGTGTATCCAGGTGAAAAAATCTTATTTGGAACCTTATTGCCCTCCCTTCAACCTAGAATATGTTCAAATTGCTGACAAATTTAGTGGGGGCACGAAATAACGTCAAAAAGTGCATTAGCAGGCTGAGTAAATCATCATTCTGAGAATACATATATATATGGACGAATGCTTTTTTTGAAACTGACTGCTCTGGCTACTGCTAACATTTAAAAAAGCAACCTGTCAAGCACGGTGCTCCGTCCACTGCTTATCCTTTCCCTTATTATCATTCATCATTTAACTCAAACTAAGATAAGGAATACATCCAAAAGATCTCATTAAATTCACATGCAGGTGAATGTAACGATAATGGGCACAAAGAGTCCAACAGTATAACTGTCTTTTGTGGAAATCCGGTGTTCTACTAGAAGTCTAAGTCGTGAGTTGATTGGACACGTATTTATACCTGCGTCTTCATTCCGCGTCTGCCTCTTTCCCTGAGGGCTCNTTTGAGGACGTTATGATTTGTCAAACGGAAAGATTTGGTTGGATTCCAAATTATCAGCAGCTGGAGGCTTCCTTACAAAATGAACTTATCCAGGAGCTTCACTACGCATTAAATTCCCCAGCCGTGCACACCCGTAGGACATGTGGCTGAGGCTTTATGAAACTGATATATTTGGTACTGTAACTTCTATAATCTGCTGAAGTCATACGAAATGCTTTGAGATCCGCGGCTTAGGCAGATGAGTGATGAGATAATCGATAACCGTCGTCTTTTAGCCTTGTAATTTCCAATTTGGAATGTTGAACGTAGGGAATTTGCTTGGCTGTACCTGCAAACCCCTACTTTCACTTCAACAGCATTTAATATGCTGGCCACAATAAGTCTTTTTCACTGTTTGTTTGCTTGTTTAGTTCCGTTTTGAAAAGAGCGAAATTAGAACCAATTTTGCCAGCAAAAGGAAAATTCATTAACCTGAGTTGTAATCTTTTTTCCACAGTTCTTGAAGTAACGTAAACAAAAACAAATTGTGTTGAACTCGGTTGCATGGCCCAGCTATGGACTATGGATGCTGAACCCAAATTACATGAAAACATTGTCTTAGGAATTGTTCAAACAGTGATGCATCCCACCAACCTTAAGTTACACATTCTCCAGGCCAGTAGATCTACTTTAAAGTATAGATAGATAGATAGATAGATAGATAGATAGATAGATAGATAGATAGATAGATAGATAGATAGATAGATAGATAGATAGATAGATAGATAGATAGATAGATAGATAGATAGATAGATAGATAGATAGATAGATAGATAGATAGATAGATAGATAGATAGATAGATAGATAGATAGATAGATAGATAGATAGATAGATAGATAGATAGATAGATAGATAGATAGATAGATAGATAGATAGATAGATAGATAGATAGATAGATAGATAGATAGATAGATAGATAGATAGATAGATAGATAGAGAGAGAGAGAGATCAGCCGCTCTTGTCCGAACGGTTGAGTGTTCAAACTACTAGCCGAGATATCGCGGATTTGAGACTCCGGAGTTTCGCAAAATGCGCACTGCTGATGATTCTCAAAAAGGATGAAACAGCTGTACAGTGCTTCTCGGCTTTTCAGCATAAATTGAGTTCACTTAAGGACAAAACCTCCACAAAAACACCTGATTATGTTTGCCTGTCCTGTTCGACAGACGAAACGAATTAATTTTACCTTGCAAAGTTCTCTCACAACAGCCAAATTCACTGATCAGTCACTGAAGAACTTTCTTATTCGCCAATACCCTTTCCCCAATACAACACCAGCTTTTCTGCTTTAATGCATTTGGATCTTCTGTCAACGTAGCTTGTGTCCAAGCTATATTGTCTGACATTAACAATAACGCACAGCTGATATGCTCAGATAATCACATAGACTGTGGCAACCAAACAATGGATACACAATGGGGATAGTCTATACCGGCAGTTTGTCCCACCCGCGAACAGAAAATGTCAAGTTACCGCAAAATAAAGATAAACGGTAATCGAGAAACATAAAATCCATGGTTGCAATCCACAAAAAAATACGGGGAAGTTGTAAGAGACTGTGGAGGTATTCAGTTATTCTAAGTGCACCGCTAAACAACGGCACCACGTTAATCCACTGCTTACTGAGGATGTCAATTCGGCTGGTGAAGGAAGGATTGCAATGAAATTACCAAGCTAGGAGGACTGCATGTCCTTAATAAGTTTACCGCACCTTTGACATACGAAGAATTTTTCGTCTAGGCAACTAACCAATGGACCTAATGGCGACTAAACCTAGCACTTGTCAAAGCCAGACATCCCCACGCAGTTCATTCCCATTTTGCCGCAGACGGAGCCAGTATCAACTTAGAGCGTAAACTTGAAATGTAAAACGCGTTTTTATTATGGCGTTCGTCCAACTGAGGGATCTCCCGATAAAATTTAACCCTAAAATAGCGAAAATAGATAGATAGATAGATAGATAGATAGATAGATAGATAGATAGATAGATAGATAGATAGATAGATAGATAGATAGATAGATAGATAGATAGATAGAGAGAGAGAGAGAGATCAGCCGCTCTTGTCCGAACGGTTGAGTGTTCAAACTACTAGCCGAGATATCGCGGATTTGAGACTCCGGAGTTTCGCAAAATGCGCACTGCTGATGATTCTCAAAAAGGATGAAACAGCTGTACAGTGCTTCTCGGCTTTTCAGCATAAATTGAGTTCACTTAAGGACAAAACCTCCACAAAAACACCTGATTATGTTTGCCTGTCCTGTTCGACAGACGAAACGAATTAATTTTACCTTGCAAAGTTCTCTCACAACAGCCAAATTCACTGATCAGTCACTGAAGAACTTTCTTATTCGCCAATACCCTTTCCCCAATACAACACCAGCTTTTCTGCTTTAATGCATTTGGATCTTCTGTCAACGTAGCTTGTGTCCAAGCTATATTGTCTGACATTAACAATAACGCACAGCTGATATGCTCAGATAATCACATAGACTGTGGCAACCAAACAATGGATACACAATGGGGATAGTCTATACCGGCAGTTTGTCCCACCCGCGAACAGAAAATGTCAAGTTACCGCAAAATAAAGATAAACGGTAATCGAGAAACATAAAATCCATGGTTGCAATCCACAAAAAAATACGGGGAAGTTGTAAGAGACTGTGGAGGTATTCAGTTATTCTAAGTGCACCACTAAACAACGGCACCACATTAATCCACTGCTTACTGAGGATGTCAATTCGGCTGGTGAAGGAAGGATTGCAATGAAATTACCAAGCTAGGAGGACTGCATGTCCTTAATAAGTTTACCGCACCTTTGACATACGAAGAATTTTTCGTCTAGGCAACTAACCAATGGACCTAATGGCGACTAAACCTAGCACTTGTCAAAGCCAGACATCCCCACGCAGTTCATTCCCATTTTGCCGCAGACGGAGCCAGTATCAACTTAGAGCGTAAACTTGAAATGTAAAATGCGTTTTTATTATGGCGTTCGTCCGATAAAATTTAACTCTAAAATAGCGAAAAACTGGAACTATTCATCTAGATGTAATAAAATACTCATAAGGTTGCTGAAAATTCTTCGACAAACCTTGATCGGTTTTGCCCTTCTTGAGGTTCATCAGGAAGGCACAGTCCCAAAGTTTTCGTTAAAGTTATGTTCTACTTGAACACTAATTGCACGGACTTAGTGAAATACACTCAATTTTAACCAATTTGGTTTTGCGATTGAATCACCTGGAAACCAGTCGAATCTCTCGTCAATGATGGGCCATCGAATAGTTTACAGCAACCTTATGAGAAGTGTATTACGTCTGTACATGCATCGCGATATCTCAAATGAAACATGAGGCAGCCTGATGTAGCACATTCAGTTGCTTAAAAGCGTCACAAACAAGAGATTCAGTTAGGTTTCAGATGAGTCTTCCACACAACCAAAATGGAACTATATGTCTTTTAAAGTCACCGCACTTCTTTGAAATGGAAAGCCACAGAACCTTTTCGTTCCTCACACGGCTTACTTTCTCCTCTAGATAATGCCTCTTATGTTGTTGACTAGGTCCCTGGAACTTTATATCGATTATTTCACAAAAGTAGACTATTTTTAAAAGAAAATAACCTGACCGCCATTCATTTTACGCCTGATGAATTCACATCTTTATTTATTGTCACATACTGACTGATTTTATTACCGCCCAAGGGCAAGTTAGTGACATGCACACGGATTTTCTTGAGTTCCTAATATTTGACATTGTACTCTCATATGATAATGGCTTTTGGTGGAAGCCCACTCACCCTAGTTGTTCTCATCTGAGTCCCGCTAAACGAAAGGATCACCAACTCGTAATGACCCAAGTGACTAAAATTACGTAAGTCAACTTTGTTTCGCTAAATATCTGACACAGGAAAATTTCCGTCCTGTTTTTTTTTCAAAGCCTTATAAAACACTCGGACACGGATGACATTTCATTGTGCGAGTGCAGAAGGAGCATGCCGTACAGCTCAGC